CGCCCCGTGTCCCTCCCCGGGCTCACACCTCTGGGTGCTCTCTCGGCAGAGGTGCAGTTCCGCCCGTACCGCACGGACGACTTCATCACGCGGCTGTACTACGAGACGCCGCGGCTGACGGTGCTCAACCAGACCTGGGTGCTCAAGGCGCGCGTCAACGACTCGGAGCGGAACCCCAACCTCTCGTGTAAGCGCACCCTCTCCTTCCAGCTCATCCTCAAGAGCAAGATCAACTCCCCCATGGAATGCTCCTTCCTGCTCCTGGAGGGACCTTACGACGACGTCAAGATCCGCCCCGTCATCTACCACTTCGTGTTCAGCAACGAGAACAACGAGACGGATTACATGGCGCTGCCCATCGTCGACTCGGTGGAGTGTAACAAACTGCTGGCGGCCAAAAACATCAACCTGAGGCTTTTTATATTTCAGATCCAAAAGTGAGACTGGGGAGAACAGAAAGAACTCGGAAAACTCCCAAGAGACTCGAGAAAACCCCTTCGGAGACGCCACAAATGCCCCGAGAAGCTCGAAAGTTGCCCCTGAGAAACGTCAAACAAGGCCCTGAGAGAGCCTGAAACCCCCCAAAAAAGGCTCCAAGAAACTCAAAGAAGGCCCCAAAAAGAGCTGAAAAAAAGGCCCCTCAAAACCTAACAAAAAGGCCCGAGAACCCTAAAAAAAGGTCAAGAACCCCCCAAAAAGGCCCCGAGAGACTCAAAACCAGCCCCCAAAATGTCAGAATTAGGCCCAAGAAACTCAAATAAGGCCCCAATAAACCTCAGAAAAGGCCCCAAAAGCTCAAAAGTTGACCCCAAGAAACCTAAAATAAGGCCCTGAGAGACTAATGCTCAAGAAACCCTCCATAAAAGCCCCCCAAAACCTCATAAAAAGGCCCAAGAACCCTAAAAAAGTCTAAAAACCCCTCAAAAAGGCCCCAAGAGACTCAAAACCGGCCCCAAAAAGTCAAAATTAGACCCAAGAAACTCAGAAAAAGGCCTCAAAAAGCTCAAAAGAGACCCAAGAGACGGAAAAATGGCCCCAAAGGACCTAGAAAGAGGCTCCATAAACCACTAAAAGGTCCCAAGAATCTCAAACGCCCCAAGAAGCTCCAAAAAAGCAAAATCTGACTCAAACACGACCCCAAAAAGGCTCAAAAGAGGCCCCAAGAAACCTAAAAAGACCCTGAGAAACCCCCCAAAAAGGTTGTGAGAAATTCAAAATAAGGCCAAGAAACCCCCCAAAATCCTTCAGAAACCCCAAAAAGGCCCCAAAACACTCAAAAGAGGCCCAAGAAGCCCAAAAACATCCCTAAGAGACTAAAAAAAGGCCCCAAAAGACTCAAAAACCCCAAAACCCCCCAAAAAGGCTCCAAGAAGCTCATAGAAAGGGGCCAAGAAACCTAAAAATGACCCCAAACCCCTCAAAACTTGGCCCAAAGAAACTCCAAAAACAGCCCCGAGAGACTCAAAAGAGGCTCAAAACCCCCCAAAATCTCCAGAAATCCCAAAAAAGGCCTCAGGAAACCTGAAAAACGGCCCCAAAAGACTCAAAAAATGGCCCCGAGAAACTCAAAAAATCCCCAAGACACAAAAAAATTCCAACCAAAACATCAGAACACCCAAACCCCAAAAAAGTGCCCGAAAAGCCCTCAAAGAAAAGCTCCAAAACGAGCCAGAACCCCCCAAAACCTGGAAAACACCCAAAACCCCCAAATCTGAAACCGTCAAAGAATTCACCAGAACTTAAAAACCAGACAAAAACCCACCAAAACTGGCAAAACCCC